TTGATGATTAGAGCTTACAGCTCATGAAAGTCAAAAATCCAGTATCTCAAAATATTAGAATATTTCATAAGCTCAATCAAAAAAAAAAGTTATTTAAAGTATGTTCATTTATGCACTCAATACTTGGTCGGGGCTCCTTTAGCACAAACTCCAGCATCAGTGAGGTGTGGCATGGAAGCGATCTTTAGCCTTCAGCTTGTCTGTATTGTTGGATTGACTGTTTCTCATATTTCTCTTGAATCAGTAATGACCTTCTGTGACTTAACCTCTTTGTGGAGGGTGTCAATGATCATCTTCTGCACCATTGCCAAGTCAGCAGTCTTCTCCATTATTGTGGCTTTTGCATTGACTTTGGACTTGATAAAACACAATGGACCAATACCAGCAGACGCCACGGCACCCCAAATCATCACTGACTTAGCACCTTCTCCTACCCATTTTCTTCCTTCCAGTCAACTTTGCATTTAATATGGTTTGATACAGCACTCTGTGAACAGCCACCCCTTTCAGTAATGACCTTCTGTGACTTAACCTCTTTGTGGAGGGTGTCAATGATCATCTTCTGCACCATTGCCAAGTCAGCAGTCTTCTCCATTATTGTGGCTTTAAAGAACAAGAGATACCCGGAATTTATACTGTAGGGATGGTCACTTAATGAAACTCAAATGTAAATATTCTAATCAAGTTCAAGTTTGTTTTATTTATATAGCACATTTAAAAACAGCAAGCACGGTTGACCAAAGTGCTGAACAAACAACGACATAGAACACAGGGCAAGCCTCAGATTCATTCCATAAACTCACAATGAATTAAAAGCCAAAGAAAAGAAATTGGTTTTAAGAGATGATTTAAAAACAGTTATTAAAGACTGTGCCGGTCTAATATAGGCTGGAAGGCTGTTCCACAGCCTAGGGCCAGCAACCGCAAAGGCTCTAACCCCTCTATGCTTTAACCGTGATCTGGGGACAGAGAGAAGTCTTTGGTCACCATCAGATTTCAAAGGCTCTAACCCCTCTATGCTTTAACCGTGATCTGGGGACAGAGAGAAGTCTTTGGTCACCAGACCTCAGATTTCATGTAGGATTGTATGGAAGCTGATCAGATAGATAGCTTGCCAGATTATTTATAGATTTAAAAACATAAATATTCTAATATTTTGAGATACTGGATTTTTGACTTTCATAAGCTGTAAGCTCTAATCATCAAAATTAAAACAAAAAAACTTTTGAAATGTTTTACTTTACATGAGATGAATCTAGAATATATGAAAGTTTCACTTTTTGAAATAACTTAGCAAAAAAAAATATTTTTTTCACAACATTCTAATTTTTTGAGATGCACTGCTGCAGCTCTTTAAAGAGATCTTCAACCTATGATTGTGGAATATGGTAAAATTTTATCACAATTACTTTTTAGGCAGGACCATGATCCAAAATCTTGGTTTTTGCAAATCACTGATTAATACAGACAAACTAATTTCTCAAAAAAAAAAAAAAAACTTACAAGGTAACAAAAAATTAAATTAAATTAAATTATAAAGTATAAAATAAAATAGGGGTGGGCAATAAGACCAAAATCTAATTTTGCTTTATTTCATTATTCTAGCTTTCATATCAAAATTAAGAACAAAAATGCAAATTACAAATAAGATGACAAATTCACTAAAGATGAAATAATATAAATGAAATAAACAGTGCTTTTTTCAGCTACATTAGGTGTATTTAACAATAGCATTCAAGAAACTGAACCAACAAATATAAAAATAAAACACTTCTAGACGTCAATGTATGAATTAAATATACAATGATACTTATTAAAGAAATAGTTCACCCAAAAAGGAAAATTCTGTAATCATTACTCACCCTCATGTCGTTCCAATCCTGAATGAGTTTCTTTCTTATGTTGAATATAAAAGAAGATATTTTGAAGAATGCTGTTAATCAAACATTTGATGGTCCCCATTGACTTCCATAGTATTTCTTTCCATGAGGGCCACCCGAAAACCTTGGGTCAAAGCGGGCCAGCTTGGGCTTGAGGAGTGGCTATGAACAAAGGTAGAGTTTCTCCGCGTCAAGAGAACGTCAGCGCCACGGATTATTTCATAAAGTTAACAGTTATAACACCAGTATTAAAGACTTTTAAAATAATTGTATCTCTAAACTCACTTTCCAACATCAGTGAGTGTATGAAATCACTTCTGTTTGAGATCCGATGGGGATTATGATCATACAAGGCATAAATATTTATAAGTGATGCAAAAGACTATGCACGCTATAGCTGTAGCCATTACCATAGTAAACATGGTAAAAACGACTACTTGAAGAAATCAGAAAAATCATATAGGCTATCACAATCGTGTATTTATTTAGTAACATATTTTATCTGTCAGTAAGTCTTCTCTCTTTATACCTGACAGTCTGATGTTCATATTTAGCTCCATGTATGTCATAAAATATATCATAATCATAGTTTTTGTTCGGAAACTCCTCTGCTACTCAGGTCGTATTTTGATGGAAAAAATATAGAAATGATCATTATTTTTAAATGTGATGTGATGTATACTGTGACTACAAACAAGCAGAAATAGACGTGACTGAATAGTATGTGCGTCCTCTTTCTTTTGTGAAATAATGGTAAATACCACTTTATTTCTGTGACAAATGTTCAATTCTGACAAATTAATTCATTATGATCAATGTATCACTTATTAAAACTGGTAAAACATTGATGTTTTTGGATTTAAATCTTTAAGTAAACAACAAAAAATACAAACAAACGGCCGCTTTTATCATGTTCGTTTTGTGATTCTGCTAGTTCCAGTGACTTATTTCTGATTAGTTTTCTGATAACTTCGATGGAAAAAATATAGAAATGATCATTATTTTTAAATGTGATGTGATGTATACTGTGACTACAAACAAGCAGAAATAGACGTGACTGAATAGTATGTGCGTCCTCTTTCTTTTGTGAAATAATGGTAAATACCACTTTATTTCTGTGACAAATGTTCAATTCTGACAAATTAATTCATTATGATCAATGTATCACTTATTAAAACTGGTAAAACATTGATGTTTTTGGATTTAAATCTTTAAGTAAACAACAAAAAATACAAACAAACGGCCGCTTTTATCATGTTCGTTTTGTGATTCTGCTAGTTCCAGTGACTTATTTCTGATTAGTTTTCTGATAACTTCTCTTTGTTGGTGAAATGATGGGGTTGTGTGACGTTGTTCCAAAGAGGCGTGTAAAGGGCGGGTATTATTATTATGATTTTGGGCTCAGTGCTACAGGTCTTAGTCTATTAGCCCGGCCCGTTGAAAGCACTGGCTCGCACTGGCCCGACAGTGGAAAAGCGGCTAATGTGGACCAACAACCGTTTGGTTCTTCAAAATTCTTTAAAATATCTAATCTTGTGTTCAACATAAGAAAGAAACTTGTACAGGTTTGGAATGACATGAGAGTGAGTAAATGATGACAAAATAAAAAATTTTGGGTGAACTATTCCTTTAAAGCAATGTTAACGAGACAGACTACAGCAGGTTTATTAGGCTTCTGTCACTTTAAGAGCTGCACAGATCTAATACTGACACGCATCCGAACTGTTTACATGCACATAAGATATAAATGACTGTGTTTATGTAAAAGCTTTAAAGCGAATGCAAATAAATGTGATGTATATGATGGTTTTATGTTATGTTTATGATGAAGTTGAGAAAACTCAAAAATCTCCTACAAAAACAAGTTGAGAAAACGTCTCGTTACATATGTAACCCTTGTTCCCTGAAGGAGGGAATGGAGACGTCACATCGGTGACCGACGAATTGGGATCTCACCTGAGAGCCCTATTATCTCAGAGTGTAAACTAAACGAGCCAATGCACATTGGCATGTGATAATTGCATCCATCTGCTGCTCGTCATGACACGAGCATAAGTAGGCAGCAGGTGCAACGCATATTCAGGTTTTCGCTGAGGAGCCGAGCCAGTGACTCGGAGCCCCGCTGTGGTATAGCAACTGTGGCGACAGGACGTGACGTCTCCGTTCCCTCCTTCAGGGAACGAGGGTTACATACGTAACCGAGACGTTCTCTTTCAGTCGGTCACTCCGAGTCACGTCGGTGACCGACGAATTGGGATCCCTAACAAAGAGCCACTATTGCTGCCCCTTCCAGCGCCCCTAGTAAGCCACCTGGTCCCCCCGCGGCAGCCCAGGAAGAAGCAACACTCCTTGTCGAGTGCTCTCAACCCGAGGGGGCAAGGCACGCCTTGGGTCTGAGACGCCAAGATGATGGCATCCACTATCCAGTGGGCCAACCTCTGCTTGGAGACAGCCTTTCCCTTCTGCAGGCCTCCGTAACAGGTGAAGAGCTGCTTTGAGGTCCTAAAGCTCTGCACACAGTCAACATATATGCGTAAAGTGCGAACTGGATGCTGCCCCTTCCAGCGCCCCTAGTAAGCCACCTGGTCCCCCCGCGGCAACTGGGGCGGAAGATAGGACAGAGCTTACGTGGAGAGAGTCTATTACTGTTGTTCCACTACACCAGTGTTTCCTCTCTGAGGTGGCTCCGCCCCAGGTAGGAGGGAGGCAACAACGGCAGGGACGGCAGAGCGGAGTCTGCCAAGGTTAAGACACAGGCTCACCAAGAGGGGAACCGTACCGTGGAAGAATACACACATGGGATCACCGAGGGGATCACAACATATGGACACCTAGCCTAGCACAGGGGTCAACCAACAGGCGTACTTACAAGTCTTAGGCCTCCACACGTCCGGCTGCTGAGGGTGATGGAGGAACTCCACAGGGCTGGCCTTGTGGGGAACTGAACTGAAGAGCAGAATAAGCACACATATCCAGTCCGTAGAGAGGAATGGTGCAGCAAGCGAGACACCGAGCAGTTCCTCTGGTTTTACTGGCTACTCAAGGCGAGTACACGAGAGGACACTGGCTCTACACAAAGGCTATAAAACCCAGCCCAGCCCGCAGCTCTACACATCTGTCAGCGAGGCGCTTTGCGCCAATGCCCAGGAAGAAGCAACACTCCTTGTCGAGTGTGCTCTCAACCCGAGGGGGCAAGGCACGCCTTGGGTCTGATACGCCAAGATGATGGCATCCACTATCCAGTGGGCCAACCTCTGCTTGGAGACAGCCTTTCCCTTCTGCAGGCCTCCGTAACAGGTGAAGAGCTGCTTTGAGGTCCTAAAGCTCTGCACACAGTCAACATATATGCGTAAAGCGCGAACCGGACAGAGCAAAGCTAGGGCTGGGTCTGCCTCCTCCGAGGGCAGTGCTTGCAGGTTCACCACCTGATCCCTGAAAAGCGTGGTGGGAACCTTGGGCACATAGGGCCGGGGTCTCAGGATAACGTGAGAGTTAGCCGGGCCGAATTCCAGGGACGATTCGTTGACCAAAAATGCATGCAGGTCCCCTACCCTCTTGATGGAAGCCAGCGCAGTTAAGAGCACTGTCTTTATCGACAGAGTTCTCAGCTCTGCAGACTGCAATGGCTCAAAGGGAGCCCTCTGCAATGCTGTAAGCACCAGAGGGAGATCACAAGAGGGTACTGGGTTAGGGCAAGGAGGATTTAGTCTCCTTGCGCCCCTCAGGAACCTGATGATGAGGTCGTGCTTCCCCAAAGACTCACCGCCTACAGGATTGTGATATGCGGCAACTGCGGCAACATACACTTTTAGGGTGGAGGGAGACAGCCTTCGCTCCAACCCCTCCTGGAGGAAGGAAAGCACAGCTCTGATCGGGCATCTCCGGGGGTCTTCCCGGTGAGAAGGGCACCATTCAACAAACAGGTTCCACTTCAAGGTATAGGCACGCCTTGTAGAGGGTGCTCTTGCCGAAGTGATGTTGTCTACCACCACCCGGGATAGATCACCTAGGACCTCCGCATCCCGTCTAGGGACCACACGTGGAGGTACCACAGATCAGAAGCAACACTCCTTGTCGAGTGTGCTCTCAACCCAAGTGGGCACAGCACGCCTTGGGTTTGATACGCAAGACGATGGCATCCACTATCCAGTGGGCCAACCTCTGCTTGGAGACAGCCTTTCCCTTCTGCAGGCCTCCGTAACAGGTGAAGAGCTGCTTTGAGGTCCTAAAGCTCTGCACACAGTCAACATATATGCGTAAAGTGCGAACCGGACAGAGCAAAGCTAGGGCTGGGTCTGCCTCCTCCGAGGGCAGTGCTTGCAGGTTCACCACCTGATCCCTGAAAAGCGTGGTGGGAACCTTGGGCACATAGGGCCGGGGTCTCAGGATAACGTGAGAGTTAGCCGGGCCGAATTCCAGGGACGATTCGTTGACCAAAAATGCATGCAGGTCCCCTACCCTCTTGATGGAAGCCAGCGCAGTTAAGAGCA